AATTTCATCCTTTCAGAGCGTTACTTGGCACCAGAGCTTGGATGAGGCGGTAGTATATAATAAAGAGTCCTTAGGGCGTGAATTCTAGCGCAGCCGGAACAGCGTTTCTCGCCAATTTTCGCGGACTCCGGATGGTATTATTGGTGGGAAATGTCACCTTGGCAGCGCTCCAATCCTCGCCCTGTCACATGCCCCATCATTTGCAGCACACTTACTTGGATTGCATTAAAGGCAGTTGGCACGATAAATCCCTAAGACGCCTGGCAGAACGGAATTCCGCGCCTTGAGCAAGCGCTGCGTAGCGTCTTTCCGAAGGGGGGGGGGTACCCTTATAGCTTCTATCAAACCGCAGCATACCGCACGCCCACCCGCCCACAAATGGACGACCGTACCTGATGCTCGTATTGCTTCATTTGCGAAGTAAAATATGAAGCGAAGGGATTGACATGACGGCCGCGGTGCTGCATGGATATATGAGCACATACGTGCAGCCGTATTTACCGTAGCTGTTACTGGTGAGGTGCCTACGGGGAACTCGTCCGAAATTGCTTTTTGAGTCACTAAGGACGAAGACTTTCCTTCGCAGGCCAAATTATCGTACCATGTGCTTTCAAAGTACTGAACAGTCTTACATTATACTACACTTCATCCAGGACACGTCCTGCCGTTGGGGAAAACTTTTGCTCGTCAGTCATCCTCCCTTCCCGTTCCTCATTCTACCTAGCATTTTCCTGGTTTTCCCCTACTTCCTTCCGCTTTACAGCACCCCTCCCCCCTCCACACGCCACCTAAAAAAACCGAGAATTCGCCATTTTTCTCCTCAAAAAAGTGCTGTGGGTGGGGGGGAATACATGACGCACTCGAAAAATTGGAGGTTAACAACTGAGTATATTTTTCTCAAGTACGAACACTCCCTCTAAGTATGATCACTCCCTCACCTTGCTGGAAATAAAAAACCTGTTCTGATTATACATCGGCTGTCCCCATCAAGTGATTGTATGGACCATATCGGGGTGAAAGTGCCACTGGGTTTTTTAACGGAAAAATTATATAAGGTCAAAAGTAGCTGGCTTATGACAATTCTCTTCGATATCAAAAGATCCACGCCGGTGGCAGGCTCATAAGAACTGTCAGGGACGCGCGCTCGTGGAACGATGGCGGCTTATGATTGCCTGGCATCCACCAATATTGTAATTTTTTGATTGAATCCAAAATTAGCGCGATAACTACCGTAGTATTTGTCTGAAAAATGTCGGCAGAGAAAAAACGTCCAGCAAAAAAGATTTTGTGCGAACAATAACATGACAATCGTGTTCGCTGTGAGTGGGCAAATGCTTAAAAAAACAATGGAAGGAGAGATGCGAAGTTTTTGAAAAAAAATTGTAGAGAGAACGGAGTACGTGAAGGACACGAGGCATGCTCGCTCATGTCTAACTAGTTTAGTGCTCCATCAATGCTCGGATGTCAGGCCCACCTAGAAAGTTATTGATGTTTCTGTGCCCCTTCTCGTTCCCTGGTGCATTTGTAACCTGATGTGAGCAGTTGCTGTCGTGACAAATTAGGACGGGAATGTAAAGAGAATCGAATTTTCAGCGATGATCAACCCTCTTTGGAATGCGCCATGCGCTGTATTTTCCTGCGGAATTGTCAAGGCATAGTGTACTGTTTGATGTGATGAATTGCGGGATTAGCTGATGTATAGGATAGAGTTTTCATTCTCCCATAACAATCGGGTACCGTTTAACCCTAGTGGGGTGGAAGCAATCTGGTGCCAATCAACCTGGAGGTATGAAAGGCTTGAATGAGAGTCGAGGTTCGACTCAACGATCGTTTACGCTACGTTCCGCAACATGCACATGAGCGTCTGCGGCGCCACGTTCCATATTTTTATGTCCGCCCAAAGGGGAGTGCCAGGGTCGAAAATCGGATATAAAAGTGCCGGTCGAAAATCGGAAATGGCACACCTCGTGTTCAAAAATGGTCCGTTGTGCTGCTCAAGAACTAATGGCAAAATGGCAAATAACACAAAAATGGCGAAAAAAGTAAAAAAGAAGCGGCTTATGGTACCTTATGTAGGAACCTATGCGAGGGCGAGCTTAGCAACGAGGCGAGGGCATTTTTGCATTTTTTTCCGGTTTACGTCTCACTCTGGTGAAACCTGTAAACTCTCATAAAGCTGGAGCAAGTTCGTCAGACCACCGTGATAAAACCTGTCAACTCTTGTAAGCTCATAGAATAGTTCTCGAGATGGCGTGACACGCCCACGGGAAGTTGCAAAAGTGCACAATGTTCTCTCCCCCCCCCCCCTCTCACGTCGGGGAAATGTTACCATACTAGACCGCTTTTTTAAGACGAGTTCTCACTTGTTCATGTCAGCTCTTCCTCCTTATTACCTCACTCTCACCATTCGAAATAGAGAGATAGCTAGTAGCGGAACAACCGCAGCACCAGGAAGACTTCAGTAATGAAAGTTGGGCGTTGCCGTGGCCGGTGGGCGGGCCGCGACCTCGTAGCGAGCGGGTCGCGCTTCCTTACGTATTTCTGATCTGCGAAACTTCCATGCTTGCGCGCTGTACTGCCTTGTCCAAGGGAAGTGTCTGCACATCAGATAAACGGAGATCGTGCTTTTGAAACGCTTGTTGGGGCAAAGCCCAGGTTGAAGACATCGAAAATACTCATATTCGTGGATATTCGAAAACAAGGAATGCTGGCTCCATATGGGAACAATATTTTCGTCGTTGGGTCGTTAACAGTCAGCCAAGGGATAAAATTTGGGCGTTTGCAACCTCTATTCGCCCATTTTTTTCTTCTTATGTGCGCAATAAGAGCCCGGCAAGGCCACAAAGAGATACAAGGGTGCTCGTTTTGACGGTTAAATTCGGTGTTGAGGATGAAAATAGTTATTTTCAGGCAAAAAAATTCAAAGGAGAAAATATGATGCTGGCACTGGACCTGATTGAATACGACCCACTATACACAAAGGTTTTCGAACTTGTTTTCGGCGGAGTGAGTTTTTTTCATATTCTGTTTTGTTAGGAGCCCGGCAGAAAAGCTGCTTTTTGCTTTTTATCAAGTTAATTTACTTAATTACTCTTTCACTGACGGGATCTGAAGCGCGTAGGCGTATGGAACCATGAAACATGAGAAATAGCGGGACGATTTATTTGCTGGAGGGAAGAAAGCTGGCGAAAATGGGCTAAATGTGAAAATATGTCATTTCTGAGATGTCTGAGAGGAAGAGCTCTGAGGGGATTAGATTCTTCCCAGACGAGCATGTTCACTTGAGCTACTGACAACAATAGCGCTTATTTGCCGGAGCTTTTCCGCTGAGGTCAAGACACAGCATGCGGATAGAGCACGGCCTTTCCAACACAAGTGTTTTTCACTATACTCGGAATTTTTTTTTCTATGGAAACCTTATTGATTATTTCAGATTCTTATATGCGATTCTATCCACTGCGCAAAAGAAGTGGTCTATGACAGTCAGGTGAAATTACGAGCAGTGACAGCTCGAGGAGATGACTTGAAACCGACAGGAACGATGAGTGGAGGTAGATAAATCGCGAGAAAGTTACACTCCATATCCCGGGGATGGGGAGGGCGGGCCGCGTACTCTATTTGGACGTTGTGCATGATGGGTTTTGCGCGGGAGATTTTTATTTGACACCTTTACCATCCTGTCTATGGTTACCGAAGACATGATTGCAATTTTTCCGCAACAACAATATTCCACCCCAGCGCCGTTGCGCCACGCTAAGTGAGGTACGCGGCCACGCCCTCGCCATTTTTGGGATGTGGGGTGTATCTGCTATCTCTTAAAGAAAGAAGGCAGTACCTTCTCAAGCATTTTTATCTCGTCACTCAATTGCTGTAGAGGGCCATCCTTGAAGGACTCTCGTAGCGCTTCGAGTCGAGCTGAGGCACGTTCGAGTTTGTCCTTTAGTTCCGAGTATCTTCCGCGAACTTTATCGTATTTCGCTACTTCTTCTATAATGCACCCAAATAGTACTAAAACTCATTTCCTAACAGCTTTGCACGAATGACCCTTACTTCCAAGCTTTGCTA